CCCCCAAAACCCCAAAACCCCAAAACCCCTTTCTTTATATCCAATATAGAAATTTGATGGAATTTTAAGAGCTATTTTACTCTCGTAATGGAAAGAAATTGTCCAATATAATATTGAGCATGGCTAATATTGTATGGTTTGTAATCTAATAATTCCTCTCCATGTTTTTAGTGATGGGTCTAAATAGAGTTTGCAAAATAAAGAGGATACCAAATCCAAAAAATGTACAATGAAAAGCTTAAATTTATTGGAAACTGTCAACAAAGTTAATAGTAATGAAACACTTCATGGAAGATTACGTTCTTGTCAAAACTTAGGTCAGGGACTTCTCCAAAAAGATTGACTATTGCTTGTTCGAAGTCTGAGTCAATTCTCTTGACCATGCGGCTCTTTCCTTTGCAACTGATTACTAGTGTGTAGATGGTTTTGCGAGCTAGGATCAGAGACTTCAATGAGTCTTTGGCTTTAACTGGGATGCTGGTCAAGTCTTCAAGTCTGACCGACAAAGCCAAGTCAGTGATGTTGAAGGCGAGAAGTCTGATTAAATCATCATAAGTTGAATCCAAGTTGTAGACTGAGAGCTGAAAATAAGCAGGCTTCATGCCTTGAAGAGTTGTAACAACATTGTCAGTTTTGACTCCTTTTGAGAGACTCATTTTGAGATATCTTCATGCAGGAGGCTTCCAATAAGCAAGGTTTTCACCTCCTATGATGAGGTCAAATGGTTTGGACTCAATGAAGTAATCAGTAGGGAAGAAGTTCTTGGTTATTTTACATTTGTTTTGATAGAACCTAGATACAAAAGACTCAAATTTTGTAAGCTTATGAATATTTTTAGAATGAATATTCTGTATTTCCACAATAGATTGAGGAGATACAGTAACGAATCCTTCATACTGCCTCTTCGTTAGAAAATCCCATTGATTAACATTCTGACAAGCTATTTTATCAGCGCTGAATGACTGAAACTCTTTAATATCTTTATCATAAAAATACACTATGCAATCTTTTATAATAAAGCTTGAATCTCTTATACGATAAGGAACCAGAGAGACTCCTTCTTGTATGTAATATTTTAAGGAATGTGGTTTTGATCCCCTCTCTGAAATCATGTCCAAAGCAACACTTAGCTTGTTAAAGTTTGGAAATATTGTAGATAAGTTCTCAAGAGCGTATTTAAGGGAATTCTTATTCTTAAAGAGTTCTTCTTCATCATACTTTTGAATCCTAACCTCTCTTCATGATTCTCTTATAGATTTTGGAAACATATCCTCAATGTTAGCTTTATAGAAATTGGTCAGAAAATTACAAAATTAAAATACCTAAATCATCTGAAGTACTTAATTTTTGATTCATCAAACAAATCTGACTAGTTTCTTTAACTATCCCATACTTCTTCTTTTCTCCCTTTAACCAATCCCAAAGGCCCTTCTTATACTCCCGATCCTTCAGCTCACTCTGCATAATCCTCTCCGTATACTCCACTTCCCCTTCCCCCTCCTCCACATCCAAGTTCCCCAACCCCTCTACCTGAACACACTCCGTCCTCAAATAGTACTTCTTCAGCACACAATACGGAGAATTCAAAATGGCTAAGTCCATATCTTTCCCTTCATAGTGCACAAAGATTTGTTTGAACTGTATCTTGTTTCTGTGCTTGTAACTCTTGATGAATTCTCAAAACTCTCTGATCGACTCCTCCTTCTTCAGTACCAACACATACTCGTAAAACTGAAGTTCTATTGGGTCTTCGATATCATAGAAGTATTCAGCAACTTCTTTGCTAAAAGGTCTTGCTCATTTGAGTACTCTAGTGCCCTTGTATTCCCTGAGTCCGTTGATGAAAGCTTTATTGTATTTGGTCCAGAGAGCTCTGCTCTGGGTTCATAATCTGAACATTAAAGAATAGGATTCTTCAACGTCACCGTAGAACTTCAAAATGTTGATACAGTTGCTAAAACTGATAATCAATCTCTTGATGTATGTTTTATCTGATCCACCTAAAATCAAAGCTTGCCTTATCTCTTATCAACCTTTACCCTTCCTAAGTGTGTCAAATCTTACCTTTAAAAGCCACCTGATAACTTTCTGCCTCCATTTCTAAATATTACTCTCCCAACTTACAATATCTCCCCAGGGGTTTTGGGGTTTTGGGGTTTTGGGG